GTCATGGTCTTGGATTCTCGAGACCAAAGCCACACTTTTCACAACTCTAGTCGGTTTGGTTTTTCAATCAAGCCATTTCCTGAGCCTTCTTTCATGGTCAGCCTCAGGCACATCGGAGTGAGTGTGCTTTGCCCGTGGTTTCTCACGCTCGTTCAGAGAACAGGGCCACCCACTGCAGGACCGGAAGCCGAAGCCCTCGCTGTGCTTGGGGTCTGTGTTCTGGAGCCCTTGGCCAGCCGCTCCTGCCAAGCCCAGTGCTCCCTCTGGCTGGTGGGGATACTTGAGACCCAGGGAGCAGGCCTCAGTGCTCGCCCCTTTCACTTCCAGGAGAAAATGAACCGGATGCGGCAGCGTATTGCTCAGCGTCTGAAGGAGGCCCAGAACACGTGTGCCATGCTGACGACGTTCAATGAGGTGGACATGAGGTGAGAGCTGCAGCCCCTCCCTGGAGGAGCCCTTGACTCGCCCCAAACTGACCTGACAGAAGTGTGGGCCTTCTTTACACAGCCTTCTGGGCACTGACCCAGAGCGACCCAGTGCTTTTCTCCTCTGATGACCATGCCTGCTCTCACCTTAGAACATCTATACTTTGAATCTTTATTCAATGGGACTGGTAATAGTCTCAGAGTCTGATGATTAGTATCAGGGGCTCCCAAGCAGGCCTAGAGGGACCACTCAGACCGACCAAGCTTAACCCCGCCCCCTCCCTCACCCAAAGGGAGACCACTGGGCAGCAGGCCTGGACCCAGGGCGCTACTCTGCTCTCATTCACAGTGACTCCCTGGGCTTGTGCCTGACAACTCGGCATGGGGGAGAGGAAAGCTGGAGGCTGTGCCCCCCCCCCCCCTTGCCCAGCTCTGATAGCGACATGAAAGCCTCGACATTAACCAGAAGAACCCACTCCGTATGCCCCCTTTTCACCAATTATTTTATTGGGAGCTATTACAAATATTATAGCAAACCATAATTCAGGTGATTGTACAATTGCTGCCACCATCGTTTCAAAACATTTTCTTTGTTCTTGAGAACTCTTTGCTAGCAGCTCACTCCCCTTTATCTACCCCCCCCACCCCCACCCCACCCCGGGGAACCCTGATTGTAGTATATGTTCTGTTGTTGTTTGTAGTATGCCCGTTTTTACAGTGTGCTCCTTGCTGACCTTCCTGTCTCCCTGTAAGACTGCCACGTGCACAACCCTGTAGGGAGGGAGGACGTGGCTCAGCGGCACCCAATTGTTTGGGTGCCTGTGTATCCGAGGCCCGCGGTGTTCAGTACAGGACAGCCAGTTCAAGGTAGAATCAAGGATGGGTGAGAGCCGATGCCCTCTCAGAGCTGCCTGCCCGGTTTGAACGGACACCAAGCCCAGCGTAGAGTAAGCCTCAGCAGGGTGAAACCGGACGGCAGTGGCATCATTGGTTGGGGGCTGGGAAGCTGGCGGGACTAGAAAGGCTTCCTGCGGGTGAGAGTCCCACCGAGAGACGACTTGACGGAGTGAGGAGCCTCCTGGAAGCGCATTTGTGGAGAAGGACCTTTCTAGCTGGCCTTCACGGTTTGGACCATGACTGCGGGGCGGGAGATCGTGTGAGGGACGGATGTAGGGACGGAAGGTTAGGCTGGTTGGATCCGTATTTCAGAATGTTTTCAGTTTCAGAGGGAAGAGTTGAGTTTATATTTAATCCTGGAGGTCATGTCTTCTGCCTCTTGCCTGCATCACCGCTGCCTTTCCCCCCTGTGGTTAGTGACCTACCTTACTGTTCTCTCCGAACACATGTGCTCCTTGGATGGGGGCCTGGGAAGCAATATGAGGCGGGAGTGATGGGTTTCAGGGGAGGCCTCTAGCCTGTTTCCCTCGCTGTCTGCCATCCTCCCGTGACACTCACTCCCAGAAGACTGACTGTCATTGCAGCCCTGCGGAGCGTTCTGCTGCCAGAGGCTGTGGGGAAGGAGCGTGACTAATGGATCCGAAAGAGAAAGCTTGGGTTTCAGTGCATTAGGGCAAATTGTACCCAAATTGAATTGGACTTTGAAATCCTACCCAATTCCTTAAGACAAAACATGTAAATATTTGTGGCCTTGAGAGGTGCACTTGGCTGGGGGCTAGCTAAGTGCAGTCATTGGATCTCCTTTCAGCCGCTAATCGAGGTGTCACTTCCCACTGGGCTGGGGGTCTCCCCAAAGCCTTCTCCACAGATCTAATCTGGTTTAGAGAGACTGCCCTTTGGGCCCTGGGCTCATCAGCTTGCAGTGAAGGGACCCTTCCCCTCCCTGGGCCTCCCTGAAATAGAAACGACTTAATGACCAGACAATAGCATTTGGACAGGTCTGAGAGCAAAGATGTTTATCACTTCTCCTTCCCTCTTCTGCTGCTCCTGTGTCTTGGGACCCAGTAATGTCTTTAGGGTGGTAATCCTAGCACTAAATGAGGTTAGACTCAGGAAAACAAACATTTCAAACCCAATCAGACCCCCTGGAAAACTTCCTTTTTCAAAAACAAAATGTCTGAGGGGGGGAGTTAAAGTTGTGCTGTTATCTTGTTTTTCATACTAATGTCGAATTAGACCATTAGAGGGAGAACCGAGCACTTGGGCTTGAGGTGGTCTGAAATATGATCTCCACCCCAGACCCCGATTCCGATAAGCACTGGCTGTTCTGACATTTCCCCGAGAACGCTGCAGAAGGTTGGTGGAGCGAAGGCTAGTCGGGGTCCTGAGGCATCTCCAAAGGCCCGCCGCTTGGAGCTATGGGAGCTTGACCTGGGCCTTGGCCTCCACACGGCCACTTCTCTAAAGAAACACCCAGGAAACCGCACCCAGCACATCCTCTCCAGCGAGAGAGCTGAGTCTGAACCGCCTCTGCCTCTCGCTGCCCAGCACTGACCTGCCCAAGAGGTGGGTGCTGGAGCCTGCTGGGTGCAGAGGAGGACGGAGCTGCTAACTCTGGAGGGACAGGTGCAGTGGGCTCTGCTGCCGTCATGCGCTGGACCCAAGAAGAGCACCCCGTGTGCAGGTGCCCCCAGCTGATGGCACATTCAAGCCATGACATTGCTCTAGCACCAGCCACACGGGGTGCTCCTCCCTGACAGAGAAATACAGAGGATAAAGATAGACTGGCAGTGAAAGGTGGTGCTGATGTGAAAGGTAAATGGCAGAACCCACTTGAGAGGGGCTTGTCCGAAGGGAGGTGTCCTCGGTCGGCGACCATTGTGTAGTCATGCGTTGGAGCTCCCGTGGGGCCGTGCTCCCCTGGCTTTTTCCTCGGTGCATCAGGTGCACACAGGCAGGTGGGCCATAGGTGTGTCACTCGGGGTTGGTGGTTTTAAGAAAACCAGTACCAAAGCGAGTGCTGCAAGGTGCCTTGTATGCCTTGCCTGTGTTTAAGGAGCGTTGTTTCAGGTAACCAGTGGGTGACGGCTCATTGGAAGGTGCAGTTGAAACCCACCCTGAGATTGGTGCCTGTGAGGATTGATCTGGTGAAAAGGTCGTGACCTCGAGCAGCCCAAGAGTGGGAATCAGTGGTTCACATTGACGGCTCATGGTTTTAGGGCAGCTGAAACCACTCTGGTCCCGGGCGAGAATGTTGGTGTGCCATTTGGTCTCTGAAAGCTGTCCCGTGGGCCAGGGAGGAGCCCTGCCCGGACCCAGCCCCGCCTGCCTTAAAGCCAGCTTGGCCCGGTTATTGGGTTGACCTCTAGTGGACCGTTTCCCCCCTTGCTCTACGAGAGACAGTCCAGAGTAAGGGAAAAGCTTGCCCAATTGTGTACACGGAGGTAAAAAACGGGTACAAGAGTCGGACTCGGTTCCCGTGGCCAGTGTGTGTGGTCCTGTGTGTCTGCAGTAACATCCAGGAGATGAGGGCCCGGCACAAAGACGCCTTTCTGAAGAAACACAGCCTCAAGCTCGGCTTCATGTCGGCCTTCGTGAAGGCCACAGCCTTCGCCTTGCAGGAGCAGCCTGTCGTGAATGCAGGTGAGTTGTGGACAGTCACCCAGGTCCTGCCTGGGAAGAGGATGCCCAAGCAGGAAGCCGGGGGTCACCAGACTGAGGTGCGTTAGCCTGTCCTTAGGAAGACGTGAGCGCTCTCTAAGGACCTTCCTGGTTCCCGGACACAGCCCATGGTTATGGTTCGTGTTCCCACCACTGAGATGGCACCCGGCAGCCTGGCTCTTTGGGCTCAGCCGGCACTCCTCCCCCCACGGCCTGGCTTCCACACTTGGCACAGGCTCCAGGGTGACCTGATCCTGGGCCGATGTGTCCATTGGGAACCCTGGGCCTGGCCCCTCCTCCGTGGACTTGGTGCTCCCTCTCCTTCCCTTTCCCTCACCTACGTCACTCAGGTGTTGACCTAACCAGCTGTCCCCATTCCTGTTGAAACAGTCATCCCTGGTGGAAGAGCAGAGAGAGACAATGACACTCTGTAACCCCCAGCAGGGCAAGGCTGCCTGTGGAGATCTAGAAACCCTAGTCCCTTCCACAGAGCAGGAGACTAGAGGGTGGTAGTAGTCACATGTGCATGGAGCTGGTGACCATGCGATGCACTCACGTACAGGCACACAGTGTGCCCAGCACGGAGGGTTGTGTAGTTCATAAACGCTGTGGAATATTATCTGCATGACGTTTTGATAGCCCTTCTCATTTCTTCCCTTCACCTGCCTCCTGACCTCTGTCCATCCTTATTGGCCCTGTGTTCTGCCTGTCCAGACATGTAGGTGTTTCCCAAAGTTGGCCTCTTTCTCAATGCCACATGCTTTTCTCTGGTATTTTATCTAATTCTACAGCTTTGACTTTCTGTGCAAGAATTCCCCCAGTTCTGTTAGCTTTGATTTGGTCGTGAGCCCTGGGCCTGAAGTTTAGCAGCTGATTTTCTGTTGAGAGCTGGTTTTGCTGATGTCAGCTCACTGGCTTCTTCCTGAATTACTGAGCAAGGGCCTGCTCTGCCTGCCCCTTGTTCCAAGTGGGACAAGGCGGCACCAGCCCACCGCCTCTCCTCTGCTCGTTGGCTTTCTCTGGGGCGCTCCAGCCCAGCCTCAGTGGGGATCTGTCCCATGTCCGCCCTACTCCTCCTGCTAGCAAGAAACTGGGAGGACTTCTGATGGGTTGAGATGGGCATAGGTGGGCACCGACTGCCATTTGTAATTCTGTGGGTGGTTAGGCCACCCGGAACTAAGCAGTATAGTTTTATCTTTTTTATTCTGAGTGCAAATCTTCACCAGCTCGGGGGAGTTGTAAGTAACGTGTGTTTCCTTTCTCATAGTGATTGATGATTCAACCAAAGAGGTGGTGTATAGGGACTATATTGACATCAGTGTCGCAGTGGCCACCCCGCGGGTATGTTCGGGTAGGAGGGGGGAGCGTGGGGCTGTGGAGAGACTGCTTCTGGAACGCTGTTTAGAAGGGAGCTAGTTACAGAGTAAAGTACTTTTGACCTTAAAGCGTGCCTTATCATCTCAGCCTCAGACCTGGGTATTGTAGACTCCCTGCTGCTCACCTTTGGTCAGAGGTTTTCTGGGGAGGGGTGGGGAGAGAACAGGGTGCTGGATCTGTAGAAGGTGCTATCTGCAACTGAGCCCAGTTTTTCGCTGCCTTCAGGGTCTGGTGGTTCCCGTCATCAGGAATGTGGAAGCTATGAATTACGCAGACATCGAGCGAACCATCTCTGAGCTAGGCGAGAAGGTACAGTGTGGGGCGCATGCGTGCGCTGAGTGCTGGCTGGGCTAGTGTTCACGGTGCACAGCGACCAGAGTGTCTGAGAGGTGATGCATGCTCCCTGGGAGCTGGTCACCTCAGCGTCTCACCTCCGACATCTTTGCTTCCAGGCCCGGAAGAATGAGCTTGCCATCGAGGACATGGATGGCGGCACCTTCACCATCAGCAACGGCGGGGTTTTCGGCTCGCTCTTTGGGACGCCCATTATCAACCCCCCGCAGTCTGCCATCCTGGGCATGCATGGCATCTTTGATCGGCCAGTGGCTGTGGGGGGCAAGGTAGGAACTGTCCCCGCAGCATCTAGTTTTCAGGGGTGGTGAGAGGAGAGCCAGGCTCAGTGCTGGTTACAGAAGGTTCTCCATCGTCCCTCCCTTGCTTGGTTTCTGAGTCATTGAGGCATGTGCACTCAATACCGGAGGGTCAGCGTCGGCCACATCACCTGAGAACTTGGTAGAAGCCCTGCTGAGTCAGACACTGAGCAAGGGCGTGTGAGAACTACCGAGCTCGGAAGGCCCTTTCCATCATCCTGAGCCAGTCAACAAGTTAGCTCCAGATGGAGCGGGCCAGCTCTGTCCAGGTGCCCCAGGCGGTGGGGGGACACACTGGGAGAGGGGGAGCATTGCAGAGCCAGGCTCGAGCTGGGCCTGGGGTGCCGGTCAGAAAAGCCTCGGGGGCTGCTGTCGACAGCTTTCCCAGGCTCTTCACGCCTGCGGGTCAGAAGCCTGGGTGTGGCCTCACTGATCGCCTCGTGCCAACCTCTCGTACACCTTCCTAGCATCTGTGGACCCCAGGTAGACACAGGGGAAGCCCCAAGGAGTGTCTCCACAGAGAAACAACCCATAACCCATCTCCCAGACCCCTCCCAGAGGGATCGGGCAGGGATGCAGAGATCCATTCGTGAGGGACGGGCTCCCTCTGCTTGAGCTTTGTGTCTGAGCAGAGCTCTGCACACGGGCGAAGCTCGGGCTCTGCCGAGACTGTCCTGCTTCAGAAGCGACTCGCGCAGGCCAGACTGCCACCGGGAACGTTCTGGTGGGGCAGGCTTGGTCACCCTCCTCAGCAGGGCTTTCCGTGTCCAGCGGGGGTCAACTTGATGACATCTCCTTTCTGCAGGTGGAGGTGCGGCCCATGATGTATGTGGCACTGACGTACGACCACCGGCTGATCGACGGCAGAGAGGCAGTGACTTTCCTCCGCAAAATCAAGGCGGCTGTGGAGGACCCCCGAGTCCTCCTCCTGGACCTCTAGGAAGGAGCCCCGCCCCTCCAACTCGACCACGCAGGAACTGAAACCAGTCTTCCCCTGCCCCTTCACGACGGGTCCTGGGTGGGCCTGTTGGCCTCACGCAAGGGTGCCGGGGCAATATAAGCCGCAACCCCAGGTCTTTGAGTGCCCTGCCAGGCGCTCTCCCTCTCTGCTCCCTGCCCGGACTCATCCCTGCTCCCTAGGCCTGAGGGAGAGGGTCTCACAGGATGTCCGCCCCTCCCCCGCCCCCATGCCTGCATAGTGTAGGAAAGCCTCCGGACTGGTTGGTGTCCAGCCCAAGTCCACCCTCTGGAGCCATGCTGAGGCGGCTGCTGGCTGCCGACCTTCGAGCAGCCTCCGCCCTGGCTGTGCACGCCCTGCAGGAGTGCACCCATGGGGGCTTCACGCAGCATGAGGGGCTGGTGTGCTGCTTACACAACACCTCCATCCTCAGCTTTCATTGACTTAGAGATGCCTCTTCTACCTCTGCTGGGCAGGGCGGGCCAGGCAGGTGTGGCAAGCAGACCGCAGGGCAGCGTGGCCCGAACCTTCCCTCAGTCCATCACAGCCTTCTGCCGGGAAGACCCATTTTGGCACTACAGGCAGCTGTGTGAGGTGCCCGCCCTCACCATGCCCTCTGCCTGCAGGGAGCCGTTGTAGCTCTCTTCTCATGCCATGCAGCTTCCAGCTCGCTGAATGCCGGTGCATCGCACAGTGAGGGCTGGCGCCCGGAAGGGACTGGCCAGTTCAGACCTGAGCTCTGAGATGAGGCTGTGGGAGCGCCCTGGGGATCTGGGCAGGAGGGCCATGTGACGGACACTGGAGTGCATGGAGACTGGCCCCGAGGTGTGCGATGTGGTTGTCTGAGGACAGGGATTCCGGGGAGCGC